CCCCAAAACCCCAAAACCCCAAAACCCCAAAACCCCAAAACCCCAAAACCCCGTCGTAACATTTCTTAGAATTATTCAGCAAATGTAGAAGTATTCAAAACAGCAATCAGGAGAGATAAGTAATATAACTGTTAGATAGAAGTATAAATAATGGATATCTAATCTAATTTATAATATTAAATATAATTTCTCAAATGAACAAAGCACTAGTTCTTGCTCTTTTCTTAGGCTTAGCTGTTACTAAACAAAACTAAGGATGGTTCTATCCAAACGAAAACGGAAGCATGGAATCCGTTATCAGTGAAGAACACTTCGCCTTCAGTTACAAGGCTCAAGCCGATCTCGGTTACGGTACCCACTACGGTGTTGCTCAAACCAACCCAGACAAGGTGGAAACCTATGGTCTCCATCTCTACTCATTCGCTGCTGTACACACTGAGGTTTTGGCAACAAGATTCTACAAGTATAACGCTAGATTCACCTTCGAACCAGTCTACTGCGAGCTCTACAACCAACACATCAAATGGCAGAGACCAGAAGCTGACAATGGAAAGGTTCACTTCTATGTCAAGGGAGACAGAAGTGGAAGAGCCCTCGCTTTCACTACCATGGTTAAGGAGAATGCTTAAGTCTTCGAGACCTCACTTGTTGACTGGATTGACGATATGGAGAACAACGATCCATTCCCATCATCACAACATGTTGGATTCGACTCAGACTTCGAACAAAAGTATATGGACAACTACTGGCAAAAGAGCTTCGAGTCAAAAGTTAAGGATCTCACCAAGCTTCTCAACGCCAACTACTACGACTGGAAGAAACTCTTCTGAGGAAGACTTTTCAATCATTGACATTAAAATCCTACTTATTCGTAAGAATTTAATCGTAATCTCTATTCTTTCAGTCACAGTCTTTCATTTATATGTCTTCTTCCATTATCTATAATTTTACATTTCTCCTATTTGAATTATTCATATCTTAGTTTAATTCTCCCTACTAAGTATATAAATTCAAGTTTTGATAGACGATATATCGTTCACCATTATCTCACTATTGCTTTCTTATCTTCGAGTGCAAGTGTTTAAAGTTCAAGCAGCTCAGATTAAAAAGAATTGAATATAACAAAGTTTTGGAAATTTGAACCAAAGATGGCAATTCACATTCAAAGATCGAGAAAGTGCGAACAGGCTAAGTTGAGAAAATAATTAAAGAACAAATTTCACAATAGGTATCTGGCAATAACAAATGCTTAAATAACAATGTTGAGACAGCACTATTGATACTACTTCATTTAAGTGAAATCCAATGAAATAGCTATTCAAACAATAATATCACCATTCTATAACTGATTTATGTAAGCTTTCGTACATCCTTCCATTTTATACAATTATCTCGCATTTAAAAATTATCGATTCGTCTCAAGGGGTTTTGGGGTTTTGGGGTTGTTTTTAATCTTATTTAGCATCTACAAGATTCTT